CATTCTGTTGATTGTAAAGAGAGCTACGTGATTATTCTGATAAATTTCAATTCTATTTTATTAGAGATAGGAACTTTCTGCTAAAGCATAAAAGCAGAATTCCGCTCAAAAATTTTTAAATGTCATTAAACGTTTAAAAATTTTATAAAACATGTTTTTCAATAGAAATTATATGAAATTAAATCAGCAGGAAAAACCATAACTTTATCATTTAAGCAGCAGAATTTTTATGTGCGAAATATGCCGCCAAATTGATGATTTTTAGCCGATTTTCAGCAGATATTGAGCAGAATTTGAAGGTTAAATAGTTATTGGGCTTCTAAACATGACTAGATAAGTTAAAGTATACGTAAACAAGTAATTTAGTTAATAAAAGATCTGTGTTTATTTAACAAAAGCTTTAGAACAGTTATAAAGTTAAAAAAATAAAATTTCAAAAAATAAAAAAATAAATTTGGTTTATTTCACGTGAACGGTCTTGTTTTTTGACAGAGCACTTGCCTAATGTCAAATAAATCATTTTTAAACAAATAAACCCAAAAAAACGAAAAATAAAAAAAAATTTTAACAACATGTAAAAATACATTTAACTTTTCGCCCCAGTCTCCCCTATTATATGTTAATATCGTTTTATGTACAGTGTAAAAACACTTCAATTATAACAAAAAAAAGTTTATTTAATTTTAAAAAGTTCATTTTTTCTTAAATTTTATTCACTGTTAAAATGCTATTCAGTGTAATAAATTACCATATATGCATAATTAAAATCGCTGTATTCATTTCCTAAACTTTTTCATTTTATTACCATTTGTTTTACTAATAATGTTTTTATTATATATAAAGCAAAATTGATAACTAATTAAAGCCGAATTTCAGCAGAATTGGGCTATTTGTTTCAGCATAATTTGACCTCTCAAAAAAGCAGAAAGTTCCTATCTCTATATTTTATGCTTTTTTTCTTTATTTTTTTACTATTTTTTAATTTAATATAGGTAATATTATCTTTATTTTTCAAATAATTCAAAAATATTTTTATTAATCTAAAAAAATTATTAATGTTATTGTTTCTTTATTTTTAAAAAAAATTAGCATTTTGTAACAAACCTTTTTTCTAAAAAAAAAATTAAAAATTGTTGGAAAATTAAAATTAGAAAGTAGAAAATATTTTGCACATTTTCTACTTCTCAATTACAATTCTTTAACAAAGTACAAGTTTTAAGAAAAAAAATGTTATAAATCAAATTTTGTTCAAGAAATTTTAAATTTATTTTGAAAAAAATATTTACAAAATTTCTGTTTGTTAAAAACAATGGTAAAATTATTCGAAAACATCAATAACCTCTTATCTAAATAAATATTTAATCATTATTATTTTTCCATAGGAATAAAAATTCTTTGAAAGATTTAAATTCAAACCTTTTTGAAATTTAGCAACTTATAATAAGTTAAAGATAACCGAGTGATAAGATCATTATTTTATTTAATAGAAATATTTTTGATGTAATTTTTTCAAAATTATTTTCATCAATTTAATTCAATTATAAGAGTAGTGATGATTCTATCACTCAGTCGTACTTTCACTATTTATTAATTCAATTATTATTTTCTAAAATTTTTAAATAAAATTCTTCTTTAAATCAATTATCTTTATTAATTATAATTATAAATGAATTTTCATATAATTTTTTATTAGAAAATTCTACGAGAACTGAATTATTTAAATACAAAAATAAATAATTTATTGAATGATTGATTACTTCTTAAAAATAAATTCTCATAAAGAATTTTATCAACAAATTTTTAAATAATTGAATTCTTTTGACGAATTTTAATAGAATCGTTAAGAACAATATTACATTTTTCAAAAAAATAGATTAAAATTGTAATAAAAATAATTGAAATTCTGCGATGAGTTTTATTATTTATAAAAATAATTGAATTCCTAAAAAGAATTTTATTATTTATGAAAATAATTCAATCTCTGTAAAAAATTGGATTATTTATTGAAAATAATTAAATTTTTTGCGAAGAAATTTATAGGAAATTTGTAAATAATATAAGTCATTTGAAATTGAGGAAAATTTTTGAAAATAATTGAAATTTTGCCAAAAATTTTATTAAAATTTTTTAAAAAATTGAATTTTGTCAAGAATTTTATTAAAAATCTTTAAAAAATTGAATTTTGTCAAGAATTTTATTAAAAATTTTTAAAATAATTGAATTTTGGAAAAGAATTGAATTTATATGATTATTTATAATTTTTCTAAAATTCAATTTTTTTAGTGTCTTTGAGTGAAATTCGTCTATAAATCCACTATTTTTAATAATTAATTAAATATATACTTATATTAACAAATTTTACAAATTTCAGAAGAATTTGAATTATTAAAATTTTTAAAAACCTAAGTAATCTTTAAAATTTCTAATGAAATTCTCTGAAAATTGTTTTCTTTCGTTTATTTTTTCTTATTTTTTATATTCTTTTATTCTTCTTTTATTTCTATTTCTTTATATATATTTTTTTTGTAACTCCCAATTTCTTCTTTTAGAAAGACTATACTTATATCGTGCAAAAGTATAGAAGTAATTTGAGAACTATATAAAGTTACAGGAAAAAAGTGATTTCTTTGCCAACTTTAATAATCACAATCAAGAGTTTAGAATATTAAATGACGCAAATCTATACTTTTTTTAGTTTTTTTCTTTGATAAAACTTATAGGTGTCGTTTAGGGTATCAAAAGTCGTAATTTACAGTTTAAGTAGATCGTCAATGCACTATTTCTGACGAGTAACTATAATTAGAGCAGGTCATGCAAGTCTGCTTGTGTATATGATGAGGTGAAGAGTGATAAACTAGAGAAAAAATTGTAATCGTTTAGTTTTTTTTTTTTCGGTAGCATATTTTTTTATTCGAAAGTTGTGAATAGATTTGTTTTTAAATGAAAATTTCACATTTATCAGTATATGGTATACACGCAAAATATTAGATTTTATATTATAACAAAAGTCTTTTATTTGTTTTGTAAGAAGCCTGGAAAAACTAAAGTTACCAATGTTGATTCAACGAAAAAATTAGAAAAAAATTGCGAAATATCATTTTTACGAATTCTTATTGTTCCAAAATGCCACTTTTGTGCATCCCCATTTTTACAAATTGTCACTTTTGCGAAAAGTCATTTTTGCGAAATACCATTTTTACGAATTGTTATTTTTACGAAATGTCACTTTTGTGAATCGCCATTTTTGCGAATAGCTATTTTGACGAATTGTCACTTTTCCGAAAAGAAATTTTTGCGAATTGTCATTTATGCGAACTGCCATTTTTACGAATTGTCATTTTTACGAAATGTCACTGTTGCGAATTGTCAGTTCACATAAATGGCAATTCACAAAAATGACATTTTGAAACAATAACTATTCGTAAAAATGGCAGTTCGCATAAATCATAATTCGCAAAAATGACTTTTCGCAAAAGTGTCAATTCGTAAAAATAGCGATTCGTAAAAGTGACATTTCGCTAAAATAACAGTTCGGATAAATGCAATTCGGCAAAATGACAGTTCAGTCAAATGACATTTATCAAAAGAAAAAAATTGCTACCAGGGCGAGGAATTATTAATTTAGTTGAAATTTCGTGATTTTCGGAAAATCCGTGAGAAAAAAATAACAACTTCGGTTTCCCCACCTTTTTTTAGGGTTTGTAGGGTTTACTTGGGTTAAAAATAAAGAAGAAAAATTTTTATCCTGAACTTTTTAGAGAAAATTTTTTCGTTGCATCAACGTTGGTAACATCAGTTTCATCCTGGAAATAACGGATCGATGATCTCTGGTTTTGGATATCCCGTAGTCAACACAAATACACCAAACGCTAAAATTGAATTAATTTACCATAATCGTATTCGATCTAAATATTAGGTAAATCTTTTATAGTGAAATAGTTCGTTGTCGGCGACCCATTTTAAATTATGGTATTTCTTATTGCTACACTTGACGATGGTCCTTGACCACTAAATATGCCAAATATTCTGTTCGCTTTTTTTCCTATCAGTGCCCTCCAAATATTTTTGATGAAAAAGAAATTTGTGGTCAATTTAACTTTTCATCACTATTATACATATAGCATAGGAAGTGATCGATTTATATAGAGCCAGACTGATGTTTATTTCTCGCATGTCAAGGCACATTTTAGGCCAAGTCAGTCTACTAAATTCCATCATTTTTCTCACTATCGAGCATCGACATTTACCAAGTTTGTCAAGACGAACATTTATCGGAACATCGAATAGCACGAACCATGGAATTGTAGTTGAACAAAGAACTTTAAATCTTGATACTTAATGAAAGAGGCTTCCATTTTAAGCTCGCTTTTCAGTTCGGAACTGAAGCGTTATTAATGTTTTACTACAGACAGTTTTTAGAATTTTTTTAAGTACCAGATATCTTCTTATCTTGACTGAATTTAATAATAGTAATAATTATTATTTGTTGTATTTATTGAATTTATCATGAAATGTTAAAAAATGAAAAAGGGATGTTTTGAAAATTTTGTCCGTGGGAGATTTTTTCCCTCGAAGTTAGTAAATCCCGGCTGAAAAAATCTCTGAGAGAAGATATGAAGGAAGTTCAATCTACCTTGACGGAGATGAGCACTGCAGTGCTTAATGAAGTTACAAGATTAGCGCTTGCCGGAAAATGGTGGATGGTACATTAATAACATGAAAACAGAGAGACGATGCTATCACTTATAACTAGAAGCAAAAATTCTTTCTCCTAAAATTGAAAATTTTAATTTCCAAGTTTGTATTAATTTTAAAATTATTCGGAATCAATGAGTACTTTAACTAAATAAATTATTTAATTTTTACTCAGGTGTGCTTAACCTGAATGATCGCAAGCCCCAGAGTCTCACCACCGAGTTTAAATTATGTAACAATCTAATGGAGGAAATGAGACTTGGTTAGAGTTATCTAATGTAATAATTTCTATTTTTGTTTTACAGGGAATGTGTGACATGTTCATCCAAACTCAACAGACGAGCAGCGGCAGCAACATTGCTCACCATCACAGCAAAAAGCGCAAGTTGGATTACAACGTGAGCCAACCAGTCATCCAACACGCATTGGTCCAATCGACCAGCGACTACCAATTGGACAATCCTGGTTTGCAACGGTATTCCGTAAGCGGTACCAACACCGCTTTTAACTCGCTGCACAATAATGCGCTGCAAAAGAGCAGTCCCATCCAACAATCTTTGGTGCGCACATCGACGATCAAACTTCTAGATTCGTACCAACGTTGCGGTCAGAAGGTACAATATTTTCTTCATTACAGGCAATACAATAATTTCAATGGGCCATTCCATGTTCTTAATCAGTTTCTTCTTCTGTGGAGTATACCTATTAGAAGTCGTATTGAAATACGACTGCCCTTCTTCATTAATTTATTTTATATTTTTTAAGAGAAAGATGATCAAAAATTAGCATTGGAGATCTAACAGTCACATATGCATTATGATATTTGGAAACCTTACTAAATAAATTTAAAAAATTAATTTAGAATCTAGTCCTTTATTGGTTTTCATGAAACATGTACCGAAAGATAAAAAATCCAAATTTTACAGGAGACTTATGTTCTAAAAATGTTCTAAATAGCCTTACACTGTTTCTAATTAAGTATACATATACTTTAAAATAATCTAATAAAAAGAAAATTAATGCTTTTTCCATTTTTCGACAATTTTTGCGTCCTCTTAAAATTAAATGTGAGGAAATTATAAATAGGTGTTACGAAATATAAAGTAAAATCATAATCCCACATAGTACAAAATTTTTAGCATTTTGTGCTACCTGAGAATTAGGGTTCCTACAGAATTTGGGAATCATGGAGATCATGGAAAAGATATGGAATTTTTAAAAGTTTATAAATTTTTTTAAGTTCTTTTTTCTGGTAATTTAATTTTTATGAAACTGAAGTTACCAACGTTTGTTCGACGAAAAATATAATACGTAACAATTTCTATTTCCCCGCCTCAGATCCAATTTTTTTCCACTTCTATCATAAATACTAATGTTAGAAGCCATTAGAAATTATTTTCAAGTGGAACCAGGTCGGGGAGGGCAACGATTTTGACATTTTTTTTGTCACGGATTTTTCGAAAATTCAGATATTTCGAAACAATTTCTGTTTCCCTGCCTCAGATCCAATTTTTTTTCCACATTTATTAAAAATACTAATGTCAGGAATCATAAGAAATTATTTTCAACTGGAACCAGGTCGGGTAGGGCAATGATTTTGATTTTTTGTCGCCGATTTTTCTAAAAATCCGTGACAAAAATCAAAATCGTTGCCCTCCCCGACCTGGTTCCACTTGAAAATAATTTCTAATGCCTTTTAATATTAGTATCTATAATAAATGTCGAAAAAAAATTGGATCTGAGGCGGGGAAATTGTTACGTATTATATTTTTTGTCGAACAAACGTTGGTAACTTTAGTTTCATATTTTTTAGTTCATAAAAATAGCAGGCTTCGCACTCATCTACTAAAACCTACTATTTACTACTTTTTTATGTTATGCTACTATTTGGGTACTTTTTTAGATTTCAACAACTAAAAGCTACTATTTTTGATGTTTTTTAGAATTTCCATTACTTGAAATTCCCAAATACTAGAAATCAAAAACTATTCTCAAAAATTATAATCAAATTCTTTAAAACGATTCAATTATTTTCAAAAAATATTCGAAATTCAAATATTTTCAATATCTAACATTTTCAAAAAATTTTACAATAATTCAAATACTTCGACTAATAATAACATTTTTCATGGAAATTCAATTTTTTAAAAAAAATTTTGATAAAATTCGAAGCTAGAATTCAATTGTTTTCATATAAATAATAAAACTCATAGAAGAATTTCAATTATTTTTAATACTATTTTGAATTAATTAATCGAAAAATTCAATTATTTCCACAAATAAAGTTTTCCACAAGAAATTCAATTATTTAAAATAAAATTTTCATAATATTTATTATATTTCGAACAAAATTAATTATTTAAAATAATTTTTATAAAATTCTTATGAAGAATTCAATTATTTTCAAAAATAATAAAATGCTTTTTCGAAATTCAATTACCTATTTTCAAAAAAATGTAATAAAATTTTTCCCAATAATTCAATTATTTTCATAAATAATAAAATTCTCCCCAAAAATTTAATTATTTACATAAATAATTCTTCGAAAGAATTTAATTATGTCGGTAAATAACAAAATTATTTCCGAAAATGCAAATATTTTGAGACATTTTAATAAAATTATTTTCATAAATAACAATATTCATCACAAGAATTCAAATATTTTAAAAAGTAATAAGTTTCCTTTTACAAATTCAATTATTTCAAAAAATTATAATAAGATCGTTAGCAAGAATTCAATATTATTGTCAAAAATGTCAATTGAATTCTTTGTAAAATTAAATTATTTTTAAAAACTTTTCGCAATTCTATGATATTTTCAATATCTATCTTCATAAAATTTCCAAACAGAATTGAAAAATATTTTTTTTTTAAATTTTTTTTCCAATATTTTTAATACAATTTTAAATAAATTTAAGATTTAAATAAATTCAAATTTAAGAAACATTCCATTTTTTAATAAAATAATAAAATTCGTTGCAATAATTCAATAATTTTCATACATAATATAACTTTTCATTCTGGAATTCAATTATTTAAATTAGAATTTGCATAAAATTAGTCGAAAGAAATGAATTATTTAAAAATGTTTATAAAATCCTTTGCAAGAATTATATTATTATTATAAATATTTAAATTCTTTAATGAATAATAAAATTCGTTGCAAGAATTCAATTTATTAGCAGGATAAGAAAGAAGTAAATATTTTTGATGAAAATTTGGAAAATGTCATTAAATTAAAATACAGAATGGAATTATTGTCAGTTTTGTGAAGTGTCTAAAACGAGTTTTTTTGGTCGTCAAATTTAATTTTTCGATAGCTACTTTTTTTTAGTTTGAATCTGCTTTTTGCTACTTTTTTAAAATTAATTATCGAGTGCGAAGTCTGAAATAGTCGTATATTAAGCAACAAGGGAATAAAGGCAGCCATTTTTTACACGGGAGAAAATGGACGCCATTTTCATACGGTCGAACAATTGAATGACTTTACGCCATTTTTGTGCATATGTGGGATAAAATTATATGTTTTCACTATAATTTCATGATAATGCCGAGAATTTGAAGCAATTATTGAAATTGATATATTTCTAACACAGCATGACGCAATGCTACAAAAGTTTATTTATTTAGTTACATGTAAGGAGTCTGGCGTCATTAATAGAGCGTCATGATTATTACAATGAGATTGAATAAAAATACATGCGTCTGATTACACAAGGTCGTAAAAAAGCTGCTGAAACTTAAACCAAGAGAGCTCAGTTGACCTCTACTTAGGTTTACATACAATGAGCTCAGCTGCAGTTTCATCCTTTCGAATCGTTACGTCCATCCAAAATTGAATGTTGACGTTCCATTTTTGTTTGCTACGCTAAACAAGCTGCAAAAGATATAAAGAAAGAAGCACTTTAAATGCAGAAAGAAATCTACTGAAATCTTTGGCGAAACGTGAATGAGACTTTCCAAGTAAAAGTGGGAAATTCAATATCAGTAACGTAACTTGATAGCGACTTTTTAAAATCAGATAAATTTCAAATTTTAACACAAAATATTTCTATTTTAAAGAATTTTTTTTTCTTTTTTTAATTGACTGCTTTGTTAAAAAAAAGAGTTCTAATATTATTAAAGCAATTGACGAGAATAATAATTGAAAATTGTAATTAAAAATGTTAAATTTATTTCAAATGCTCCAAACTTGAAAGTTTCTAGTCTATATAACATTAATCAAGTCTGAGTGGGATTAAATTTTTGAAATCATCTTGAGGTTTAAAATAATAATTGACAATATAATAAATTTTGAAGAATTAACCGACAAGATTGATATAAAATTGATACCCATATGAATAATAATTTTCTGTAACTGTTATACACATAATGTTTATCAGCTGCTTTAATTTTTCAAGGATATGCTTTTTTTAATAAAAGTTGTTATCAAACAGAGCCAAAGAATTAATGATACCGATAACAAAATAATTTATTTCAATATTGAATAAATGAAAGTCTTGCAATTTTTTATATTTATGCCAATTTTATTTGAAATGAAATTTTAAGTTGAACTTAATTCATTGTATAAATTTTAAGTGAATATTAAAATTTTAAAAAAAGGGATAAGTGTAAATTTAACTAGTTCATAATATTTTATTGTTTGAATAAAAGAATGATTGGAGTGAAATTTAAGGTTCAATTGTTTTAATAAATGAAAGTCAACTCATTGAAATGTCATTTGAAAAAACTATAAAGATATTCTGCTTCTTGTGAATAGAGAGAAAAATTTATTGCAAGTCTCCTAGAGGCAAATAGACACACTTATGTTGAGTGTAGAGATAAGTTCTACAGCTGTTATAGTAGCAGATTATTGATTCCAGTCAAGGCTCCATTTTCATATTTCATTAATACATAGATACAATTTGATGCTCAGGGATTTTCATTGCACGATACATGACTCCCGGAAGTTCGTAGTATCAGTCTGTTGTTAAAGACCTGTGTGAAGATTTTATTTCATTATGACGCTATTTGAAATGTAAAATGTTATTGACACAAATTTAGTGTAATTCTTTTCTTTAACTTCCAGACATTTTAAATAGTATGAAAAAATTTTTTTCAAGTATTAAACGAGAATTAAATCCCCGATAGATTGAAACTTTAATTTTTTAATTATTAGATTACTTTATGCAATGACTTTTTGCAGAGAAAATCTTGGTCGAGGGAGGGTAATGGTGAAGACTTGGCGGTTCATACCGCCAATACAAACAACACAACAGGTAACACTGTAGTCTCTCAGCATCACACTCAACAACAACAGCAGCAACAGCAACAACAACAGCAACAACAACAGCTGCAGCAACACAAACAGCCAAGCACAATGACGTCACATAATAAGCAAGTGACAAATACGGGAAATGGTGGTGGAGGTGGTGGTAACAATCCTCAAGGGGATGGAGATTATCAGCTGGTGCAGCACGAGGTTCTTTACTCCATGACCAACCAGTACGAAGTCCTCGAATTTCTTGGAAGAGGCACTTTTGGCCAAGTGAGTTTAACCATTTTTTTTATATTACGGTAATTAAAAAAATTGCAGCTTCATTTAATACAATTTTAAGCAAATATTCATTATAAATTATAGTAATTACTGGGCATTTCCACGAAAAAGCGGAATGATTTAAAGAATTATCACAGTAGCAATCTGCCTCCTGCCTTCCATAGAAAAAGTTTACTAAATTTAATTTATATTGTTCCATGTTTATAATAGTTATGATTTTTGCGAAAAATCTCGGTATTTCAACTAAATTATCATTTCCACGCCTCAGAAGCAATTTTTTTCTTTTGCTAATTGTTTATTTTAATGTTAGAAGCCATTTAAAAAAATTTCAAGAGGATCCAAGGCGGGGAAAGAAGTGATTTTTTGTCACGGATTTTTCAGAAATCCTAGAATATAAAATAAATCATTATTGAAAAAAAGTCAAAATCACTGCTTTCCCCGCCTTCGATCCTCTTGCAAATTTTTTCAACGACTTCTAACATTAAAATAAATAATTAGCAAAAGAAAAAAGATTGCCTCTGAGGCTGGAAATTATCATTTAATTTAAATACCGGGATTTTTAGAAAATCCCTGAAAAAAAAACAAAATTACTGCTTTTCCTGCCTTGGATCCTTTTGCGATTTTTTTAATGGCTTCTGTTATTAAAATAAATTATTACCAAGTGAAAAAACAACTTCCGAGGCGAAGAAACAATAATTTAATTGAATTTCAGGGAATTTTGAAAAATCTGTGACAAAAAAATCTATATCACTGCTTTCCCCGACTTGGATCCTTTCGAAATTTTTTTTAAAGGGCTTTTAACATTAAAATAAGTAATTAGTGGAAAAAAAAACTTTTCGTTGAAACAAAGTTGGTAACTTTAGTTTTATCAAATCAACATGCCTCTACTCAACTCAAGTATTAAATGTAATTTTTAAACATGTATAATTTTCTCATGAAATCGCCTCAAACATTTTTTAAGCTCATATAAATGTAATAAAATTCAAACTCAAAAGATTTAAATAATAATTTCTTCAAATATTTTAATGTTCATTCTTATGTTTCTAATAATGGTTGGGGTACAGTTTTTGTAAATCGTATTTTCTAATTTTGTATTTTCTAAAAAATTTTTTTCTATTAAAAGTGAATTTCTAAAAAACTTTTTTCTAATAAAGGTGCTTTTATAATTTTCTATTTTCTAATAAAGGTAATTTTCTAAAAATTTATTTTTCTAATAAAATTAATTTTCAAAATTTTCTTTTTTCTAACAATATTCAATTTTCATAATTACGATCTGCAATAGGTTTAAAAAATAAAATTTACGAAAATTTTTTAATTCTTTAGAAAAAAATACATGAGATTTCGTTAAAAAATTATAATAAAAAATAGAAATTGTAGGAATTTTTTTCCTAAAGATATTTCAAATTTTCTAAAAAAATGTTTTATAAATATATTAACTTTGGAAATTTTAGTATAAAAATGATGCAAATTATTATTTTTTTCAAAGAAGAACAGAATTTTGTTAACAAAATTTTGCTAAGAAATAGCAATTTTACAACATTTTTTCTTCTTTTTCAAAAAGAAACTTATAATTTTGTAAACAGAATTGTGAATGAGATACAGAAAATATGCAAATTAGTTTCTATTTCTTAATCTTAATTTTTTAATAATTTTCTAATTTTTATCACAATTATGGAATTTTACAAATTTTAGGAAAATAAATATTAGAAATTATAAATTTTTAGAAAACAGATTTCATTAGAAATCGCCTTTTTTTAGACAAAAAGGATTAACAAATATTTTTTTAGAAAAAGTGGGCCGCCGACCTTAATAATTGGTAGTATTCATATTTTATTTATTTATTTTATAGTTTATTGAATTGTTATCATTTTATCAGGGCTCGGATTGTGCGACTTTATCGACTTTTTTCGACTTTTTTCGACTTTTTTGTGAAAAAACGCGACTAAAAACTAAACGACTTTTTCAAATTTTTTTTTAGTAAAATGCGACTGAAATTAAAAAATTTTTTTTTAAATTTAAAGGAAAAAGTTTGAGTCAAAAAAATGTTCTGTTACATTTATTTACAAATTTCTTTCAAATTTTTCGAAAACATCAATAACTTCTTTTTTAAATAAATATTTAATTATTTTTTTTCCATAGGAATTAAAATTTTTCAAAAGATTCAAATTCAAACCTTTTTGAAATTAAACAACTTATAAAAAATTGTTATAAAACATGAAGAAATCAATCACTCCGAGTCTTCGACTCGGAGCAATCGATGTCTTCATGTTTTATAATAATTAAATTAGATCGAGTGTTAAAATAATTATTTTATATTATAAGACTTTATAAAAAAAAATTTTTAATTATTTTTTATGAAAATAATTGAATTATTGGGAAGAAAATTTATAAAACATTAGTAAGTAATTAAATTTTGCAGAAGAATTTTGATATTTAAAATTTTGAGGAGAATTTAAAAAAAATTTTTGAAAATAATTTAATTTCTGACAAGAATTTTTTTACTTTTGAAGATATTTGAATTTTGCAAATAATTTTATCAGAACTTTTGAAAATAATTAAATTTCCAGGATGAATTTTATTATTTATGAAGATAATTAAAATTTTGACGAGATATTTAAAAAAAAATTAAAAATAATTGAATTTCTAGGATGAATTTTATGTTGGAAATCAAAAAAATGTTTTACAATACGCGGGTTCACTTTGTAAACTTTTGTTCTGATCTGTTTATATATTCTTGTGAATATATTCTATCGTCTTTTATTTCTCAATCAGATCTTTTCTGTCTTTCATAAACATAATTTAATTTTTTTTTCTTTCATAATCATGACCTGCGATTTACTTTTGCTCATATTTTATTATTTATAAAGATAATTTAAATTTTGACAAGAATTTTATTAAAATTCTTTGCAAATAATTAAATTTTAGAGAAGAATTTTATTATTCACAAAGATAATTGAAATTTTTAACAGATTTTTTTTTAAAGTAATTAAATTTTGCCGAAGAATTTTGATATTTATAAACATAATTGAATTTCTTTAAAGAATTTATTCGTACTTTTGAAGATAATTGAATTTTTCAAAGAATTTTATCAGAACTTTTGATAATAATTAAATTTTTATGATGAATTTTATTATTTATAAAATTTTGACGAAAAATTAAAAAAAATTTTTGAATATAATTGAATTTCTGCGAAGAATTTTATTACTTTTGAAAATAATTGAATTTCAGAGAAGAATTTTATTAAAATTTTTTTTAAATAATTGAATTTCGGAGATGAATTTTATTATTTATAAAAATAATAATAATAGAGTTTTTTAAAAAATTGTTAAAAATACCTAATTAAAATTTTGCTATAAATTTTATTATATTTTTTAGATTTTATTCCGGATTGTTTGATATTAATGTATCTGTTGTCGAGAAATGTGATTTTTTTTACAATTTTGTGTTTTCTTTTTGTCGTTTTTTTCTAAGATTTCATGCGACTTTTTTTCGACTTTTTCGGAAATTTTATGCGACTTTTCGTGACTTTTGTTGTAAATTTATGCGACTAAAGCGACTTTTTTGAGTCTTAAAGACGATCCGAGCCCTGTTTTATAGGAGACCGAATTTACCAAACGAAATAAAAATTCTAAAGATTTAATTAAAAAATACTATCTTAATCATAAGAAGCATATTAAATATTTAAACTTCAAAATTTAAGTGACTTTTTTAGTCAATTTATTTTTGTCAAACAAAAGTGTAAAATAAAATTCAGTTCACCAATTGAAATCAGAAAAATTGTTCGATATTGGAATTTAAACTTTTTATTAATACAAAGTTTGAGAAATTTCATTAAATTTATATGAACTTACAAAATGACAGTGATTTCTTGGAAAAATTACATTATAAACTTCAGTTGAATAGAGGCACGTCTTGATCGTTTTGCTTCAATTTGGAAAAAAAAAGTTTCTTTACGTAATGATTAATTTTTCTAGTGGTTATCACAAATACGGGAACATTTATATAATCAAAATCATCTGTAAAAACATTAATTATAGAAAAGCAAAAGACGACATATGAAAATTGAGAATTTTCTGCAAAAATATTAAGAAACAGGAATATCTAATGTTTTTCTTCCCAAAAGAAAAAAATGAGTTTGTAAACAATATTGTTAATGAGAAATAAAATTTGTGCATAAAATGTGTTAATTTCCTACTTCTTAATCAAAAATTTTAAATATTTAACAATTTTCAAGTATTTTTTATAAATAAAAAAGAAGAAGAATTTGCATAATATTTTAGATCAGTCGAAACGAAATTTGTTATAGAAAAAAGCATATAACAAACAAAATGGGTCTATTATTTATTTGTTAATCATAATTTATTTTTAAAAAATTTTTTAATTTGTAATATTATTTTATTATAAATCATGAAAAGCATACACAGAAACTAACTTCAAACTGCGGACAGAATGAATGAAAGAATATGAAGATTAATAAAAAAAATAATTCTAGTTAATTTATGATAACAATATTAGATGTAAGTTTTAGATTTTATAAATAATTAATTTATTTTATTAATGTTTTTTACCAAAATAAACTACTATTTGAACAACAAAGTTTCAAATAAGATAACTTGATATATTTAATAATTAACATTGATAATTATGAAATTTTTAATGAATATTAAATTTTAAGTTTGAAAGACTTAAATAAAAGTTGAGATTTCAATGATTATGTTATAAGAGTTTTGAATTTTTCTCTTAATCTTTCCACAAACATATTGCACGAAAAAAGAAAAATTAATCAATTTTTTTTAAAACCGCTCAGGTGATAAAATCTCTTAAAAATACAAAAATAATATTTATTTATATTTCAATAAACGCAGAATTATATAAGCTTTCAAACGATCGAAGAACCAAGTTCCTATCATTTTACAAAATTAAAATTTTTATTAAATTTTTATTGTAAAATTAATATTAATAATGAAATTAACAAAATATGAATATAACAATTATAACAAAAATAATAAAAAATACAACTAATTATATATTAATATATATATATATTATTAAAATCTTAAATAAATATATCAAGATATTTTAATTTTTTGTACTATTTCACTTTTTCATGACAGTGGCGAAAAAATAGCGCATACGGCACGCACTTAAGCAATTTTTAGCTTCGGATGATTTTAACACTCGCTGTCTGTGCGACTTCGTCTTATGTTTGTCGCATTAAGGACAGCTCGTACTGAAAACTAAATCCTCTCCTAAAAATCTTGCTTTATGTGCTTGCCACATAATATATTTGAAACAAATATTTAATATTAAAAACTTTTTATTATTTAGGTCGTGAAATGCTGGAAGAAAGGAACAAATGAGATAGTTGCAATCAAAATTCTAAAGAATCATCCTTCCTATGCGCGCCAAGGTCAAATTGAGGTAAATTATGTTTTATTTCTCTACTCAAAAACAAACAGAATTTTAGCTAATGAGATAATTTCGAATTAAATTAAAAGTGGTTTCTTAAATTGAAAATGGAAAAAGAAAATGAATTCTTTTAAATGTCAATAATAATAATAATACTCTATTTTATTGGTCTAACTTTTAAAGGTCTCCATCCTGTCACGACTGAGTCAGGAAAATGCGGATGAGTTCAACTTTGTGCGTGCCTATGAATGTTTTCAGCACAAGTCGCACACTTGTTTGGTATTTGAAATGTTAGAGCAGAACCTCTATGATTTTCTCAAGCAGAACAAATTTTCCCCTTTACCATTAAAGTACATCAGGCCAATTCTTCAACAAGTTTTAACTGCATTGCTCAAGCTCAAGGTAGGAGTTTTGACTACATCTTCTATGGACTCTCATTTTCAGAAAATAATAATTACTTCAGTTGGGGTAGTTATCATGCATTCTTTGAAATTGGACTCTAAAGCATAAATGCACTTTTTATTATCAATTTCAAAAAATGCAAATATGACGATTTTGACAAATTTTTCAATTTTTTTTAAAATAATTTAAATGAAGATTGGAAAGGTTATTATTAATAGAAATATCGCTAATTTATAATCGAATGAGATTTTCTCGTTAATTTTAATCAAGAGATTCAGATACACTTTAATTTTACACTGGGAAACAGGGTTGCCACAAATATTTAATTTTATTTTTTCCTGATTTCCAGACAAAATTTTCACATTTTCACTTTTTCCTTTACTCTAAAGAATATTCTGATTAACTCTAAAAATTATTAGATACTCAAAAAAATGTTCTAATACTTTTATTTGCAAATTTCTCTAAATGTAACATTATTCGACAACATCAATAACTTCTTTTTTAAATAAATATTTAATCATTATTATTTTTCAGTAGGAATTAAATTTGTTCAAAACATTCAAATGCAAACCTTTTTGAAATTCAACAACTTTTTAAGAATATTATTACAAAACATTTTTCAAAAAAAAAGTTAATTATTTAGAAAAATCCTAATAAAATCCTTCGCAAGAATTCAATTATTTTTACAAATAATAAAATCTCCAAAAAAATGCAATTATTTAAAAGAATGTAATAAAATTCGTTGCAATAAGTAAATTATTTTCATAAATAATAAATCGATTATTCGGTAATTCATTTTTAAATCAAATTTTTATTAGAAAATTCTAGAAGAATTCAATTATTTAATTATATACAAAAATAAATAATTTATTGCATAATTGAATGTTTGTTACAATTGAATTCTCATAAAGAATTTTATCAACAAATTTTTAAATAATTGAATTTTTTAAAACAAATTTTAATAAAATTTTTAAGAATTAAAATCCTGCGTTGAGTTTTATTATTTATGAAAATAATTAAAATTTTTCTAAAATAATTGAAATTTTGATAAAAATTTGTTTTTAATTTCTGAACATAATTGAATTTATGCGAAAAATTTTATTACTTTTAAAAATAATTTAATTCTTTCAACGAATTTTATTGAAGTTTATAAAAATAACTGAATAATTTCGGTGAAGAATTTTATTATTTATATAAATAATTGAATTCTTGCAATGAATTTTATTCAAATTTTTAAAAATAATTAAATGTCGGTGAAGAATTTCATTATTTATAAAAATAATTGAATTCTTGAAAAGAACTTTCTTAAATTTTTTTAAATAAGTGAATTCCTGTAAATATTTTATTGCTTATGAAAATAATTGAATTATTTGGAAGAAATTTATTTATAATTTTGTAAATAATTGAATCCCTTTAAAATGTTGCCAAGAATTTTATTAAAATTTCTTTAAATAATTGAATTTTGATGAAGAATTTTATTATTTATAATGATAATAGAAATTTTGACGAGAATTTTTTTTTAATTTTTTAACCTGATTGAAATTCTGCGAAGAATTTTTATAACTTTTGAAAATAATTGAATTTCTGGAATCATTTGTAACTTCTTCTATAAATTCAATTTTTTTTAGTATTTTTAACAAAAAATTTTCTATTAATCTAGTATTTATGAAAATTGTAAAAATTAATCATTAAATAATTTATAAGTCATAATTTTATGATAGTTCTTGAAAAATTAAGTTATTTAAAAAGAAATTATTGTCAGAAATAGAAAAAATTGAAGGTTTTGTATTAAAATTCGTGGTAGTTTCAGAGTTTACGAGGCAAACAAAAAGAAAATCAAAATTCAGAGTTTCACAGAAATTCAATAATTTACAAATTTTATATAAATTTCTTAACCACAATTCAATTATTTTGATAAATAATAAAACTCATTACAGAATTTCAATTATTTTTAATACAATTTTATTCTAATTCCTCGAAAAATGTAATTATTCATAAAAATTTTATTAACATTCATCAAAGAATTCAATTATTTAAAAATTTGTTGATAAAATTCTTTATGAGAATATATTTTTAAGAAGTAATCAAGTATTCAATAAATTATTTATTTTTGTATTTAAATAATTGAATTCTCGTAGAATTTTCTAATCAAAACTGATATGAAAATTAATTTTTCTTGAAATTCTAGATAATAATAATTGAATATTAAAAGCATTGGAGCATGAATCTTTAGAAAAAATTTATTTTGAAAAGGTTTCAAATTAAAATCTTGGAAAATCTGAATTTTTCATACTTTTCAACTAATAATTCTGTAGAATTAATTTTTTAAAAAAAAGTTTTCGTCAAAATTTAAATTATTATCTTTTCAAATAAGAAAATTCTTCGCAAAAATTCAATTGTCTTCAAAAATTTTAATAAAACTCTTGTCAAAATTTCAATTATCTTTATAAATAATTAAATTCTTCTCCGAAATTTAATTATTTTCAAAAATTAAAAATAAAATCCTTGTCAGAATTTCAATTATTTTCAAAAATTTTCCTGAATTCAATGATTTTTAATAGGCTTCTACTATTCTAATAAATTTTTCCAAAAGAATTCAATTATTTAAAAAAGAATTTAAAAAAATTTTACACAAACATTTAATTATTTTCAAAAAATAATAAAAATTTCACAGGAATTTCATTATTTACCAATTTTTTTATAATTTTCTTCCCAATCATTCAATTATTATTTTCATAAATAATAAAATTTTTACAAGGATTCAATTATTTTGGTAAATAATAAAATTCTTATTAGGAATTCAATTATTTTGATAAATAATAAAACTCCTCGAATTCCTCGAAAAAATGTAATTATTCTTAAAAATTTTATTAAAATTTGTTTAAAAAAATTCAATTATTTAAAAATTTGTTGATAAATTTCTTTATGAGAATTCAATTTTAACAAACATTCAATTATTCAATAAATTATTTATTTTTGTATAATTAAATAATTGAATTCTTCTAGAATTTTCTCATAAAAATTGATTTAAAAATGGATTTCAGTTAAAATTTTAGATTATAATTGAATATTAAAAGCATTAGAGCGTAAATTTTTAGAAATAATTGAATTTTGAAAAGGTTTCAGATTAAAATCTTTGAAAATTTGAATTTTTCATATTTTTAACTAACAATTCTGATAGAATTAATTTTTTTTTGAGAAACTTTAATTGTGGATTTTTTTTATATTATTTGAAGTTTTTATTTTCCAATATATATTTAATTGAAGAATTTACGAATAATTGAAATTTCGTAAAATTGAATATTGTAAACAAATGAATTTGAAAATTGTCAAAGAACTTTTTCGAAAATTATTAAAAATATTCGATTTTAAGAAGAATTTTAGTTAAAAATATTCTTGTTCTTGTTCTGTTATTTGACTCGGACTGGTTATATTTTTGTCAGTTGGTCCGTAATTTTTCATTTTTTGTCCGTAAAGTCCGTATTTTTAAATACTTTCACTAGTTCGAGCCCTGACTGAATTCCCTGACTTCCCTGACCTGTGGCAACCCTGGAAAAGAAAAACATCGATGCTAATTACATTTCCAGTTGGATGAACGTAAGCGACCCTTGTAGGTAAAAGTGTTGATTTAACACCGAAATAATGTTAAATCTATCAATTTCGGTGTTAAATGAACATAATGCTCGCATCAGCGTTCTTCTTTTCCCAGTGTATTGTTTAGAAGAGCTTGTAAAATAATGAAGATAATAATTTTATGATGTCTATACTTTTAGCAATTGGGTTTAATACACGCGGATCTAAAACCGGAAAACATCATGTTAGTTGATCCAGTACGACAGCCTTATCGTGTGAAAGTAATTGATTTTGGCTCGGCTTCTCACGTATCCAAAGCAATTTGTAATACTTATCTGCAATCGCGATACTACCGTGCGCCCGAAATCATTCTTGGACTTCCATTTTGTGAAGCAATAGATATGTGGTCGCTTGGTTGTGTCGTGGCAGAATTATTTTTGGGCTGGCCTTTATATCCAGGTAGTTCAGAGTACGATCAAATTCGCTACATCAGTCAAACGCAAGGCCTTCCAACGGAGCACATGCTCACAAATGCTAGCAAAACTATTAAATTCTTCTACAGGGATCAGGAAAGTAAGTTTTCCCCAGAAGCAGAGCTTAATTTACAGTAAGCAGACTTAATTTACAAATTGAATATTTTTTTTTTTTTAGGCACGTATCCGTTCTGGCGATTGAAAACACCAGAAGAACATGAGGCCGAAACGGGTATCAAGTCAAAAGAAGCGAGAAAGTACATTTTTAATTGTCTAGACGATATTGGTCAGGTAAATGTGCCGACCGATTTGGAGGGCGGCGAACTCCTTGCAGAGAAGGCTGACAGGAGAGAGTTCATTGACCTCTTGAAGAGAATGCTCACCATGGACCAGGTAGTAATACCTAATTCATTTTCTCCGACAAATTTGTCTCTCCAGGAAGAAAAAATCATTTTTTTTAATTGAGACCAATATAAACTAATGAATTTTTTTTCTGTCTTTAAAGGAGCGTCGGATAACACCTGGAGAGGCACTGAATCATGCATTTGTGACATTGGCACACTTGATGGATTACGCTCACTGCAATAATGTAAAGGCCTCCGTTCAAATGATGGAGGTCTGCAGGCGAACCGGTGATTTCACCGCGAGTCCAGCGCACCATCAAGCACCACCAGCACCTCAACCAGCACCTCCGACTTCTCTGGTCGCCAACTTTGTGCCAACGACAAATGGCAGCGCTGTTACATTAACTTTCAACAACCAATTAAGTAATCAAGTGCAGAGACTAGTCCGGGAACATCGAACTGCTCAAAATGGATACGATAATTTGGTAATTGAACGAAATAAAGTGACACTTCACCTTTTCGAGCTATTATATATAATTAATTGATATTAGAAGTTATCATAAACTTTGTCCATGCAATATTTTCTTACTGAATCATTAATTATTTTTTTTATTTCTTAGTATCAAATATACAGTAACAGCAGCCGTCGAGCGACTCAATACAGTGGTTCGTCTAGTGGATCGAATGGCGGTAGGAATGGAGTTCACGATTTTCCTCATCAACTAGTGTCGGGAATTCTTTGTCCACCTCCCGGTTACCAAACAATGCCCAGTCCAGCGAAACACGTTGTAGTTGCTCAGGTTAATAGATAATCTTTGAATTCTCTTATTTTCTTATTCAAAATTGCTAATTTTTCGTTTATCTCTAGCAGCCGCAAGCTCAGCAGGCACCGCTGCAGATTCAATCTTCGATTATCTCTCAACAAGCAGTTGCTGCTGCTGCAGCTGCTGCCCAACAGCAATACGCTGCAGTTCCTGTCTCAATGGTAGAAACCGGACGTCAGATGTTACTAACCGTAAGCACAGAATTTAAAAAAAAAACAATTACTTTTCGTAAAAAGTATATTACAGGCTTCGCACTCATCTACTAAAACCTACTATTTACTACTTTTTTGACGTTATGCTACTATTTGGGTACTTTTTCTAGATTTCAGCCACAAAAAGCTACTATTTCTGTTTTTTCTAGAATTTCCACTACTTTAAATTCCCTAATACTAGAAATCAAAAACTTTTGAATTAATTAATCAAAAAATTCAATTATTTCCACAAACAAAGTTTTCCACAAGAAATTCAATTATTTAAAATAAAATTTTCATAATATTTATTATATTTCGAACAAAATTAATTATTGAAAATAATTTTTATAAAATTCTTATAAAAAATTCAATTATTTTCAAAAATAACAAAATTTTTCACAGAAATTCTATTATTTTTAAATATTTTAATAAAATTTTTCGCAATAATTCAAATATTTTTATAAATAATAAAATTGTTCGAAAGCAATCAATTATTTTTAATGCAATTTTAATTAAATTTTTTTTGAAATAATTTAATTCTTCTTTTAGGTTTCATCAAAATTCCTCCCCAGAATTCAATTATTTACATAAATAATTCTTCGAAAGAATTTAATTATGTCGATAAATAACAAAATTATTTCCGAAAATTCAATTATTTTGAGGCATTTTAATAAAATTGTTTTCATAAATAACAATAATCATCACAAGAATTCAAATATTTTAAAAAGTAATAAGTTTCTTCTTGAAAATTCAATTATTTTCAAAAATTATAATACATTCGTTCGCAAGAATTCAATTATTGTCAAAGATGTTAATTGAATTCTTTGTAAAATTAAATTATTTTTAAAAACTTTTCGCAATTCTATGATATTTTCATAAAATTTCCAAACAGAATTGAATTAAGAAAAAAAATTTTGATACAATTCTACGTAAACATTCAATTATTTTCATAAATAATAAAATTTCATTTATAGGAATTCAATTATTTTCATCGCAGAATTTCCAATATTTTTAATACAATTTTAAATAAATTTAAGATTTAAATAAATTCAAATTTAAGAAACATTCCATTATTTAATAAAATAATAAAATTCGTTGCAATAATTCAATAATTTTTATACATAACTTTTCATTTCTCACAGGAAATTAATTATTTTCAAAAAATTTTAATTAATTCCGTAAAAGAATTCAATTATCTTGATAAACAACAAAGTTTTCTACATAAAATCAATTATTTTAAGAAATTTTAATAAAATTCTTTTCCAAAATTTAATTGTTTTTATAAATAACAATATTCATCACAAGAATTCAATTATTTTTAAAAGTAATAAATTTTTTCTGGGAAATTCAATTATTTTAAAAAATTCAAAAATAAAATCGTTCACAAGAATTCAATTATTTTCACAAATAATAAAATGCTTTTTAGGAATTCAATTATTTTCAAAAAAAATTTAATAAAATGCCACACAGACATTTAATTATTCTCACAAGTTTTAATAGAATTCTGTGTAAAATTTAATTATTTTAACAACTTTTCGCAATTCATTGATTTTCAATATCTACTATTTTTATAAAATTTCCAAACTGAATTCAATTATTTAAAAAATTTTTTGTAAAAATCTTCGTAAGAATTCAATTCTTTTCGTGAATAATAAAAATTTCTCAGGAATTCAATTATTTAAATTAGAATTTGCATAAAATTAGTTGAAAGAAATGAATTATTTAAAAAATTTTAAAAAATTCTTCGCAAGAATTATATTATACTATTATTATAAATATTTAAATTCTTTCATGAATAATAAAATTCGTTGCAGGAATTCAATTTATTAGCATGATAAGAAAGAAGTAAATATTTTTGATAAAAATTTGGAAAAAGTCAGGAAATTAATATACAGAATGGAATTATTGTCAGTTTTGTGAAATGTCTAAAACGAGTTTTTTTTTGTCGTCAAGTTTAATTTTTTGATATCTACTTTTTTACTACTTTTTTTAGTTTGAAAGCTTCTTTTTTAAAATGAATTATCGATTCCAAAGTCTGATTACAATTTTTGTTGAAATAGAATGCTGTACAGACATCTTGGCCTGGAGGTAGTCGACAAATGGCAGCAATCGTGCCGTCCTGGCAACAGTTGCCACCTCAACATGCAACCATACAACAACCTCTTCTCAGTGATGCTGGAGACTGGGGTCGACCTCTTATTGTCGATAGTTCCGCTATTTTACAGGTATGATTACATTCACCTTATGCCAAAAAATTCCTGCATTACCAAAACAAATCTACTCATTTCTCTAGTCTCAAGGTGGAAAAAAAGTCTCCTTTTTCGTGTCATAAACGCTCTGAGAAGATTGCACTTCCTGACGAAATCACATCCTTTTCCCGCATCAAGTAGTAATAAATCCTTCAATTCAAATACTTCCTTTCAAAGTCGATTCCATAATTATCAACTTAGTACTGTTAAGTTTTTGAAATGTTAAGTGTATTTATGGAATCGACGCTTAAAATTAGTGAAAAGGCAAATGAATTAATCACTCAATGTTTTTGGGGAAGGATCAGAGGCCAGTGTTCCCTGTAGCAGAAGTGTATAACGCTAGTACTTTAGTTGAGCATCCATCACAAAATTGGGGCAAGCGCAGTGTGACGAAGCATCATCAACATCACCTCGCAGTGCCACAACAGTCGCAACACAGGCACGAGCATAAAAAGGAAACGCAGCAGTTAAGTCCTGTGAAGAAGCGAGTGAAAGAAAGCACTCCGCCTAGTAACATGAGACGTCATTCTCCAACGAATGGTCACTGGCAACAGCAGCCAGTTTCACAATCCCATCACTATTCAACAAAACACAACAGCAACCACAGCACTGAGCATCAACAAGTCTCTTATGCCAGACAGCAAACTATTACCATTCACGACACTCCATCGCCTGCTGTTTCTGTTATCACGATTAGCGACAGCGAAGATGAATCTCCCGGTAAATGGTAAGCAAACTTTTCTCTATTAAATTATTGCATTTTGTCAAACAAAATAAGTGACAGGTTCCAACTAGAAAATAAAACCTTTTTTCCTTTTTCTGTTAAAATTAGTAATAATTTCAGAAAAAAAAGAATTTTTTACTTACGGATAAAAATTCAAAACGCTAATTTTTGTTTTGCTCAAAACTTGCAGTATTGTTTTTAAAATTTATTTTGGAATCTTACGCCATATTTTTTTTAAATGAAATATGAGGCCTCGGTTTCTATTTTAATAACTAAACTAAAATAAGTAGAGGAGAACGGGGCGAGGCAGCCAAGATGGCACATTTTGGTTTGCGAGGCAGTTATTTAAATAGGTTTTTTCAATTTTAATGTCGCGTTAGAAAGCTTGTCTTATTGGCTAAAAAATCGCCATAGAACATTCTGACGTAGGTTGCACTTAAAAATTTCTACAACCCTTTTCCCAAAGGACCACATTTTGGCATATTTGAAAAAACGTGGGGTGAGGCGGCCAACTATTTTAATAGGGGCGACTATCAATTCGCTCCCGTGAGGGGAAGGGGCCTTCCCCTCACGGGAGCGAATTGATAATCCAAAAAAACATAACTTAAAGTTACAATTAGTGAAACATAACAAGGTAGTTGTCCTTAACTTACTTTTATTTTGTTAGTAAACTTCAAAAATTTACGTTTAAATAATATTATAATAATAACATTAATTAAATTCAATTTAACATTTTAAGGAAATATAAATTTTTTATTCTTAAAAAATGGTTTATAAAATTCAATGTTAAGTTTAAAATGTATTCGAGTAGGGAAAAAAGAGAAAACATTTAGAAGAACCAATAAAATCAACTCAAAAAGACGAAAAATTTAGTGTTGGCTGCCTAACCCCACGAGTACTTTTTTAAGAAAACATCCACAAAACCCGTAATATTAAAAATATCGCAATTCCATTAACACCATCGTCTTCAGCACTAAATTCTGCATTAAAAATCACTTTACAAGAATTTTATTCGTGTAACTCTATTAACTAAAATCACCAAAATAACTCTTAGAAAAGTTACATCCAAAAAGTATGTTTTCATAAATGATACTGTCATTGCTAAACTGCTGCAGCAATAATGCCCATCTGTTAGCAACTAAAGTAAACTACCATAAGCAGTCTACATTATCAATAGCGCACGATTTGAAAAAATTTTGCAGAAATAAGAAGCAATTGGCTGCCTCACCCCGTTCTCCTCTATATGATAAAAATCTTAAAATTTAAGATGGCGGATCCAATAAGACAGAAGAATTTTCAAAAAATTAATTGGATTCGTTTGAAACTTATTACAGGAATAATCTTTAGGTCGTTGATTACAAATCGAACAACAGTATTTTGAATTGTTTGATTTTTATCTTGGGGTTCACATAATCGCTGATTATAAAGAATGTTAGTTTTTAGAACTTTGAAATAACAAATCTAATAGGGTGAACAATAATGTCTAAGACGATAGAAAGTAATTTAGGCTGAATTTTCTTATTTTATAAAAAAGTTTGCTAATATGTCAAAGTCTTATATAAAAATTCATTTATAGATTGTTCACTTTCTAATTGTTCACGGATTCAGGGAAAAGTCAGGGATTTTTATTAAAAGTACTGGAAAAAATTTAATTTGTAGAATTCATAAGAAAACTCTGAAAATTTGGAAAAAGTCAGGAACTTAAAATACAGAATGGAATTATTGTCAGTTTTGTGAAGTGTCTAAATCGAATTTTTTTTTTGGTCGTAAAGTTTAATTTTTCGATAGCTGTTTTTTTACTAGGTACTTTTTTTAGTTTGAAAGCTACTTTTTGCTACTTTTTTTAAACAGTTTTTCGATGATCCTTCCATTCCATGACAAAAAAGTTATAATTATTGGTCCATTTGTTTATTTGGAATTCAATTAAAATTTTACTGAAATTTATTATATTAGAGAATTTAATAACAATTTTTGAAAACAATTAAAAACTTTTTGAAGAATTTGATTAAAATTTTTTTAAATAATTGAATTCCTGAGAACAATTTAAATAATAATTTATGAAAATAATTGAATTCATGCGAAGAATTTCGATTGATTTTCGTTTAAATAATTAAAATTTAGCCAAGAATATTATTAAAATTTCTGACAATAATTTAATTCTTGAGAAGATTTTCGCTATATCTATTTATAAAAAAGATAATTTAATTCTTAACGGGAATTTTTAAAAAAATTTTAAAATAATTTAATTTTCAGAAAGTATTTGGTTACTTATCAGTGATCTCGTCCTCTAGATTAATTGAAGAGCTACATAAAATAAGGGGACGAACGCGAGGCTTGGAAGGGATACAAGCAGTGACAAGCCTTGAGCCGCTCGCTGCTACCTGACTGATATTATCTCTTTCAACCATGCGTTCGTCCCCTTATTTTATGTAGCCCTTCAATTGTAGTTATTTAAAGGCTTATATGCGATTTGAAACAATCTATTTATTTAGTATAAAAAATAAGGTTTAATTCATTATTTACTGTTTGTTTGAAGAACAGTTGAAGCAAAATTATTTTCGACGCGAAGGGGTCTGTTATAGAATTTTCCAAATACGTTGGAATTTTTTGACCATCCTGCGGCCTGTCTTATGGCCTCTATGCTGACACCTTTCCTTTTGGCTGCTGACATTGCTGCGTGTTTTGCGCTGTAACCTGTAAAATTTTTTGTATCAATACCGCTTTGTGTCATTATTTCTCTAATCCAGCGGCTTATAGTTTGAGCGCTTGCTGGGTGATGTGGTTTTTTACAGGTCAATATTAGTGAGTCTTCTTGATTTGATCTAAGGTTTTTTGTTTTTTCTTGGTAGATTTTGATTAAGGTTGCGATGCACAGCTCGGGTTGTTTATTATTTATAGGGAAATTTAGCATCGGTTGTTCTTTCCCTATTTTTGAAGTTTTCAGTCGGTCCGGTATAAATATTTTCACGGAGTTTTCTGTTATTTTGATATTAGATATTTTTATTTTTGCCAATGTTTGCATGCGTTGGGCCGTGGCTATTGCTAAAAGGGTAACTAACTTTTTAGTCATTTTTTCGTGGCTTAATTTTTCGTTTTGACCTAGTTTTAATAAATTAATTTAGGACGACGTCTGGGTCCCACGTATCGTTATATTTTGGACGAGACGGTTTTAGTACGGAGAAACCTTTGCAGAACCTTTTTACAATGGGATTATTACCTAAATCGTAGTTTAGGATTAACGAAAGTGCTGAACGGTAAGAATTAAGAGTTCCGTGCGTTTTTAATGATTCCGATAAGGACGTTAAAAACTTAAGTACGTCTGTTACTGGTGCTTCAAAGGTTGGGAGATTTTTGTCGATACAGTAGTTCAATTTTCCGAAAGAATCGAGGGGACAATTCCTATTCGGTTTCTGCCGGTAAACGACGCGATTCTTCGTCGGCTTCCGAATTTTCGCTTGAGGCGATGTAGGATGCAAAGATCCTACTGCAATCGCAGTAGTGTTCTCAATTCTGAGTAAGAGATCTTGTGAGAGATTTGAATATTATTTTTCCACCATAGAATGTCAGGTAACAAGGATTTAGAAAGAGACATTTGTTTTTCAAATTTATTATTTTCTTTTTTCAGGGCTAAAAATTTTTCCCTTTCTAAATTTTTTGTGTAGAGGGTACCGTATCGGATTGCTGGACACGAAGCTACTAGTACACCTACAAGTTTTGCTAGATCTCTAATTTTACAACTTTATTTATTGTAAAATTCGTTTATTTTCTTAAAAACATCGTTTCTTTTATTGTCAGTTAACTCGATAGTCATTTCTCGCGTATTCCAAATTAAACCTTAAAATTTTATTTTCCTCGAAGGTACGATAATCGATTTTTCGTTATTCACGATAAATCCTAATTTTTCTAATAGTTTTCGCGTCACTTTGATGTTTTCGATACATTTCCTATGGGATTTTCCTATTAGTAGGAAGTCATCTAAATATACAACGGACAAATACGAACTCGATCTGAGATATTCAATCACCGGCTTCATGAGTTTAGTGAACACAAATGGGGCAGTACATAAACCAAACGGGACACAATTAAACTCGTAACATTGACCGTTATACTTGAATCTCAAGTATTTTTTATGTTCGTCAGCTATAGGGACTAATAAAAAGGCATCGGTGAGGTCTAAGGTAGCCATATATGCTTTTTCAAATAATATTCTACTGACCGTTTTACGGTCCTCAAGTTTAAAGTGTGGAGGGTCAAGGAACTTGTTTAATTTCTTTAAGTTTAAAATAAATCGTTTTTGTCCATTGGATTTGTCTGCGAGAAAATATTCTGAAAGAAATCGACCTTTAATTGTCGAGCATTTTGAAATCGCGTTTTTATTGAATAAGTCTTTTATTGCGAGATTATAATCATTTTTCTCTTGTTTAGAGAGAGAAGCCTCCTTGGGAGGGTCGGTTTGCCAGGGATTTGACACAAAAGGAATTTTATATCCTGTGACATACTGCCTTATTAAAGGGTCAGCTGTAATTTGTTTCCAATTATGGGAAAAATATTTTAATCGGCCAGCTATTGTACTTACTTGATTTATCGACGATACTTCCCATTGGTTTGCGTTCTTTGGAATTTTTCTTGCCCTCCCTGGCGAGCACCCCTGTAGCTCTTTCGGGGAGGGCCCCGGAAATTGAAATTCCTGTTGGACTCGTCCTTTCTTATATTCCGTTGAGGATTTCGCTGGAAAATTTGATGTCACTTTTTTAATGTCTTTGCCTGTTTTTTCCGCTGCTTTTGCTGCTTTTAGACGTTCACCAAAGTTTTCGCCAAATAAGAAAGTGTCGATTTCGCAATCTTCTGCAATGTTTTTTACAATTGCATTCAAACCAGGGGTAATAAGCGTCCGTCGAGTAATTGACGATCTATAATGAAGATCACCAAAGATTCTTGCTGCAGCGGCAAAGTTGGTAATTGCTTCCGAAATGTGAGGAACGTCTTTCGAAATTTTTAATGCCTCGGTTAAACCGTATGCTAGAGCTGTCATTCCGGCACTTAATTGGCTTTGAGATATAACTTGGTGATAATCCTTTTTCAGGGACACTTGACCAGCAGCTGACTTTATTTCGGGATTTAGCTTTGGCGCTTGACATGTCTTACAATTTGCAGGCGTGGGAAACTTTTCGATGATATCTTTTTTGGTATCCTTAGCCATTCCCGATTTCATCAAAGTAATATAAACTTCGGTCAGGGAAGTATTTATATCTGGACCGTATTGTTTAACCTCCTCGACGTTTCCTAATAAACTTAGAATTTCCGCGTAATTTTTTGTTTCGTCTTTGGTTTTACCTGCATGAGGATCGACAGATGAGGGACGTGAGTAAGACGAAGAACTTGTTGAAGAGGTGGAAGATGAGGAGGATTGTGATCGACGGCGAGAACGTTTTTTCTTTGACGCGCCTCTCGGGCTACGCTCATAGTCTCTTTCGTGGTAATAAGTCTCATGTGGTGAATAGTCACGATTATAACGATCTTTGTTTGACGCATCTCTCGGATTGCGCTCACTGTCGTTTTTATCGGATTTTTTGTTTGGAGAGAAAGAGGGGGAACGATGGCGAGATCGGTCCCGGCTTGACGCACCTCTCGGGTGTCGCTCACCGCCGTTTTCCTTTGTGGAACTTGATGAAGAACGATAGCGAGAACGACTTTGGCGTGACGAACCTCTCGGGTGTCGCTCACCGCTATTTTGGTCGTCTCTAGAACTTTTGCTAGACGATTTGTTGTGTTCTTTCGATGGCGTCCTTCTCATTTTCTTTTTCAATTTATTAAATAATTCATCGATTTCTTTTTCCCGAGAACGTTTTCGAGATTTTCGATCACTTTTATCACGATTCATTATGATATTGTTAGTAAACTGTAAATAAAACTTTAATCTTTTCTAATCACGTGTTGTCAGGATCGCACAAAAAAGCGTAATGGCGTAAAGGTACTGCCACAGCTCGCTGCTGCCTGCGCAGACAGCTGAGATACAATGAGAGTGAGGAAGAAAAAACATGAATTTGAATTTTCTTTCTCCCTTACTCTCATTGTATCTCAGCTGCCTGCGCAGGCAGCAGAGAGCTGTAGCAGTACCTTAAAGATGTGTGAGCGCCAGAGCGCCCCCTATCGACCGAGGCTTGGCGCGAGCTTTAAAAAATGTGGTCTGGATCGAGCAACTAGCGTTACTACAATTGATCTAGAGGACGAGTTCACGTAGCATAATGCAAATATCTTGATAAGTAACCGAATACTTTCTGAAAATTAAATTATTTTCAAATTTTTTTAAAAATTCCCGTTAAGAATTAAATTATCTTTTTTATAAATAGATATAGCGAAAATCTTCTCAAGAATTAAATTATTGTCAGAAATTTTAATAATATTCTTGGCTAAATTTTAATTATTTAAACGAAATTCAATCGAAATTCTTCGCATGAATTCAATTATTTTCATAAATTATTATTTAAATTGTTCTCAGGAATTCAATTATTTTAAAAAATTTTAATCAAATTCTTCAAAAAGTTTTTAATTATTTTCAAAAATTGTTATAAAATTCTCTAATATGATAAATTTCAGTAAAATTTTAATTGAATTCCAAATAAACAAATGGACCAATAATGATAACTTTTTTGTCATGGAATGGAAGGGTCATCGAAAAACTGTTTTTTGGTACCGCATTAACAATGTATTTAGTTTATAATATTCAACTTTAAATTATTAGTCATAAAAAATCGTATTCAAATAAAGATAAATAACAATATTCGCACTCGATAATTAATTTTAAAAAAAGTAGCAAAAAGTATTTTTCAAACTAAAAAAGTACCTAGTAAAAAAATAGCTATCGAAAAATTAAACTTTACGACCAAAAAAAAAATTCGATTTAGACACTACACAAAACTGACAATAATTCCATTCTGTATTTTAAGTTCCTGACTTTTTCCAAATTACCATAAAAAATATATATACTTCTTTCTTATCCTGCTAATAAATTGAATTCCTGCAACAAATTTTATCATTCATGAAAGAATTTAAATATTTATAATAATTGACAAATTTTGATGTTTTAATTGATCCTTAATATATATAATATTCAATTAATAATAATATAATTCTTGCGAAGAATTTTATAAAAAATTTTAATTCCTGAGAAACTTTTATTATTCACGAAAAGAATTGAATTCTTACGAAGATTTTTACAAAAAATTTTTTAAATAATTGAATTCTGTTGGGAAATTTTATGAAAATAGTAGATATTGAAAATCATTAAATTGCGAAAAGTTGTTGAAAATAATTAAATTTTACAAAGAATTTTATTAAAATTTTTGAAAATAATTAAATGTCTGTGTGGCATTTTATTAAATTTTTTTGTAAATAATTGAATTCCTAAAAAGCATTTTATTATTTTTGAAAATAATTGAATTCTTCATAAGAATTTTATAAAAATTATTTTAAATAATTAATTTTGTTCGAAATATAATAAATATTTTGAAAATTTTATTTTAAATAATAGGATTTCTTGTGGAAAACTTTATTTATGGAAATAATTGAATTTTTCGATTAATTAATTCAAAATAGTATCTATTAAAAATAATTGAAATTTTTCTATGAGTTTTATTATTTATGAAAATAATTGAATTCTAGCTTAGAATTTTATCAATTTTTTTTTTAAAAATTGAATTTCCATGAAAAATGTTACTATTAGTCGAAGTATTTGAATTATTGTGAGTTTTTTTGAAAATGTTAGATATTGAAAATATTTGAATTTCGAATATTTTTTGGAAAAGAATTGAATCGTTTTAAAGAATTTGATTATAATTTTTGAGAATAGTTTTTTGATTTCTAGTATTAGGGAATTTAAAGTAGTGGAAATTTAAAAAAAAAGAAATAGTAGCTTTTACTGGCTGAAATCTAAAAAAAGGATCCAAATAGTAGCATAAGTAACGTCAAAAAAGTAGTAAATAGTTTGTTGTTAATTGACAGCTAACAATATGTTAGTTTAACAAAAAAAATTGTTAAAGTAATAAAAACTTTAAATAAAATTTTAATTTTAGGACGAAATGTGTAGGGTGATGTGAAACATGGGGGGATGTGCAACACCGCCGATTTCTGATCTACAGTTCGATATTAAACAGAGCCAAGTATTGCCATTTGTTTGTGTCCTCATTAGCTTGTTTTTGATATAAAACTCACGAGACAGCTCGCAGCTAGGTTTGCTGTACGAAAGTTGATTTAAATTTCTCGAGAAGGAAATATTTCTCGCGCTTTACGTTTCTAGTCGTTTCGTGAAGGGTTTTAATTTATTTTATAGATAAGAATGTGTTTATTGATGGTTTTTTAAGTGTTTTTAAATATCTGTTTATATTTTGTGTTTCCATTGCATTGTATTGCGTACAAATCATTTTTCCCAAAATATCATATTTGGGGTGATGTGCAACACTTTTTTTGGGGGTGGACGTAACTACTTTTTACGTGACATAACTGCGATTCACATGATGAATAAAAAATGCTTAGTTATTTTCCTTTAATTATATTCCTTATTCAGTCATGAATAAATAAAAAATTAAACAAAAAAAATTTTTTTTTTCTTTGGTGAAATCTCCATTTTTTAGAGGTCAACTATACTTTATTAAATTTTTTTTGGCAGATTTCGATTAGTTTGCATTGAAAATGCCTAAAATTAATAATTAAAGAGATTTTCATCGATATTTATCCATTACATACCTGAATTTTACTGGTGTTGCACATCACCCCAACTTTTTTGGAAAATGCAAAAACAGACGTTTTTGTAAAAGCGAAAAATTTGTAAGAAAAATTTAAAATTCTGAAAATCTAATAATGCAGGAATATTCTATTATAATGCCTCTAAGTCATTCAATTTTGAAATATTTAAAAATTTAATTATTTGACATGTTTTTCGTCCAACGAAAAAAAACGTTGCACATCACCCCACATCACCCTACAATACAAAATTTATCAATTCAAATTTTTTTACTGTGTTTTTAATGTTCTTTTGTTAAAATTAATATAAATAATTAATGAAAAATGAAATGCTATTTAAAGAAGAAATAAGAATAAGAATTATAAAATAAAGTTCGTAAAACTCGTTGAATCATGCGTAAATGTCATTGACAGCTGCGGAGATCGCCAGTGCGGAGCCTGTCAAAGTTTGGCACCTCGTCTGTCTGGCGATGGACGTCCTGTCCGTGAGGAAGTCATTCGAAGGTACATTGAAACAATAACCGGAAGCACACTAAGCACCTATTGGTTCATTGTTTTTTCGTATGGATCTGCTACTAAAAACCCGGCTCTATATTCTTACAAACACGCATATAAAAACACATTATAAGTGTATTTTTGTTCACGTAACATTCCAATGCACAAGTTTAACAAATTTTCTCTTTCACCTTCGTCCAAATTAACTATTGAACCTTTCTTTTTCGCGGGATGTAAAAACAACTTATAAGGGGAGACCGAGGAGGAAAGTAACAAACTTTTTTTCGACCTTCACCTTTTAAATAAAATTTGAATTAGAAATTAAAATGAAATAGTCAGTTTATGGCAAACCCTTTTTTTTATTTCTGCATTTGTTACTTTCCTCTTCATATTGTTTTTCTTCGCATCTTAACAAAAATGTTGAAAACATACAAAAGTATTAAAGACTATTTAATTATAAACTTAATTATTTTTCGAAACTTGATGAAGTTTTGAAAAATCTCACGAAAACTACCTGTTTTATAATATTGACAAGTTTTTTAACTCTACATCAAAATTAGACATAACATTATAGCGAAAGATTTCACGCACTACAATAATTGTAGGATCACTGTTGATTAATAACACAGGTTCACAAAAAAAATTGATGAAATGTTCCTTCGACCAAACCTGGTGTATTATTATGTTTTTAGGGTCCTTAAAAACGAATGTGAAGTCCGTTTTGCTCCACCACGTCAGGATTTTTTCTAACCTCAAAATATATATCAGATTTTACGTGACAAACAAAGTTCTATACATACACTGTAAAAAAAGGGAGTTAAATTTTAACTCCCCAGGAGATTCTATAAAAGTCGCACCCATTTGGGAGTTAAAGCGAAGATAGTTTGATAAAGAGAGTTGAAATTTACGCAGTAACAATAAGAAGTTATTCAATTAACTCCATTTTATAGTTGATTCTTAACTCGAAAAATTTCACTCCCAACTTCATTCACCGTCAACTCTCAAAATTTTTTACAGTGTATAGACGGATTTACCTCAATCTTGATATCGAGGGTTTATTGGGGTTGCTGATTACGAATTTAAAAGCCGATTTTCAAAATACAAAATGGCGAATCCAATATGGCGGTCGGATTTATAAAAATTTCTTAAATGTAATGTTAAATCCGACATGTGTTTTGAGGTTAAGAAAAAAATGTGATGTGATGCAGCAAAACGGACTTTAGATTTGTTTTCAGCGAACCCAAAAACATAATACACCAGGTTTGGTCGAAGAAACATTTCATTGATTTTTTTGTGGACCTGTGTAATGAATTAGAATTTCAGTCCATTTATTTTTATGAAAGTCATAAGCGTTGTTACTTTCTTCCTCGGACTCCTCTAATTGTTGTTTGCTTGTTGAAGATTTCTGGTTACGGAGTTGGCGTGAGATTTATTTCACATAACTAACAACTCAATAAAACCTTTTTGTTTATGGGGTATTGTACGCGAAACAGACAACTTAAAACTTCTACTGAAAAATACTCTATTTTTAAAATACTGCTATTTCTATTAAAATGCATGAAATGAAAAAATGTGTCTGTTTTTTATAATAAATTTAATTGTCTTTAATTTGGTGAATTTTCTACTCTTCTGCGCATTTTGATTGGTCGCTTCTAAGCAGGTGATTAACTTGCGTGCACCAGGCAGATTTCAAAAATATGATTATAATTATAATGAATGTGTCGAACTTCCCTTGATTCTTTTTAAACATTTCTATAAAATTCTTTAAAAAAAATTCAATTATGTTTATAGAATTTTTGGAAATTTCAATTATTTAAAAAATTTGCAATTATCTTTAAAAAGTAGAACTGAAATATTTTTTTAAATTAATGGGTCGATCTTCCCTCGATTATCAATTATTTTTAATTCTATTAAAATTATTTAAAAAATGTAATTATTTTTAATTCAATTTCACAAAATTCAATTAATTTAATAATTTTGTAAATAAAATTGTTTCAGAATTTTAAAAAAATTATTTAAAACTTAAATAATTTTTTAAATAAATATCTAATTATCATTAATTTTTTTATAGTAATTAAAATTTTCAAAAATTTTAGTTTAAAACCTTCTGAAATGCAATTAATTTTGAAAATTGCAACAGTTTTTTTGCTAATATGTCTTTTCTATAAGTCTAATTTTGTCAAAAGTCATTGCAATTCAAAAGTTCTTAAGGTAGAAAAAATCCAAGAAAAATTCAAGGTTTCTAAGTTTGGTATAAAATGTTTTTGACACCAAAATCAAAAATTTTTTAGTAATTCTAAGAAATTAGTATTTTTCCAATGCTTTTGATAAAATTCCCTGAAAGTATATAATACTTGATAGTAGTTTTAAATAAATTTTTAAGTATCCAGATCTTAATTTAAAATCAAAAATATATATATTTTACAGCTAAAATACGTTCATAAATAATAGATATTTAACGTGTTTTATTTATTTTATATAAAAATATTACATAATATAAGAAGATTTCTTTACAATATATTGGCCTCTGATAAGTTTTTATAGGTTATTTTTATAGCCAGGCATCACAGTACCTTTTTTCCTCAAAAAAGATGAAAAGGGGAATTTGTTTCCTCAGAAAGGGGACAGAAATTTATTTGTTTATACAACTTGCAGATATAATTCAAATTTGTTATCATATAGCTTCCATAACATTTTTTGAAATTGATTTGATTTTAATCAGAGTTGCTTTGTTTTTCCCTGACTTTTCCCTGATTTCCAGACAAAATTTTAACTTTTTCCCTAAAGAATATTCTGCGATTCACTCTAAGAATAATTAGATACTTAAAAAAATGTTCTATTACATTTATTTACGAATTTCTTTAACCGTAAAATTATTCTAAAACAGCAATAACTTCTTTTTTAAAAAAATATTTAATCATTATTATTTTTCCATAAGAATTAAGATTTTCAAAACATTCAAATTTAAATCTTTTTGAAATTCAACAATTTTGGAGTTTTTTGAGTTTTATAATAATTAAAGATGACCGAGTATTAAGATCATTATTTTCTACTATAAAAAATATTTTTATTGTAACTTTTTCAAAATTATTTTAATTATTTCAATTCAATTATCATTTTCAAGAATTTTTAAATAAAATTCTTCTTTAAATCAATTATTGACAATACTTTTTAAAAAAATTCTGAGAATTTTCAAATGTATTTGTTTACAATTAAATTTTACGAAATTTCATCGATTATTCGGAAATTCTTCAATAAAATATATATTTCAAAATAAAAACTTCGAATAATTTCAATTGAACTTTTTGAAAAAAATTAATTCTACAGAATTTTTAGCTAAAAATATAAAAAATTCAGATTTTCAAAGATTTCAATTTGAAACTTTTTCAAAATTGAATTATTTCAAAAAATTCACGCTATAATACTTTTAATATTTAATTATTATATAAAAATTTTACTGAAATCCACTTAAATCAATTTCAATTAGAAGATTCTACGAGAATTCAATTATTTACATACAAAAATAAATAATTTATATTGAATAATTAAATGTTTCTTAATATGAATTCTCATAAAATGGTATTTGATTAAAATTGTACGCAAAATAATTGAAATTCTGCGATGAGATTGATTATTTATGAAAATAATGAAATTAGTGCGAAGAAATTTATAAAAAATTTGTAAATAATAGAATTCCTGTAAATTTATTTTATTATTTATGAAAATAATTAAACGTTTGCGTAGAATTTTGATACAAATTTTTTTAAATGATTGAATTCTTTTGGAAATTTTATTAAAACAGTAGATATTGATTAATCATTGAATTTAGGAAAATTTTTGCAAATAATTTAAATTTTGCCAAGAATTTTCTTAAATTTATTGAAAATAATTGAATTTCGAAGAAGAATTTTATTATTTATAAAAAGAATTGAAATTTTTACGAGAATTTCTTAAAATTTTTGAATATAATTGAATTTCTGCGAAGAATTTTATTATTTTTGAAAATAATTGAATTTTTGCAATTATTTGAAACTTCTTCAAAATTCAATTTTTTTAGTGTTTTTAACTAAAATTCTTCGTTAATTTCTTTATTTTTAAAAATGAATTAAAGATATATTTTAAAAAATTCAACTAATTTCAGAATAATTAAAATTTTGAAAATTTTTACAAAAATTTAAGTTCTTTAAAATTTCTAATGAAATTTATTCAAAATTGAAATTTTATTAAATTTGAAATTAAAATCTTTTGAAGTTCATCTATATATTTATAAAAATTGTAAACGAAACTATTTTGAAATTCAATTAATTTTAAAATGTATAAATAAAATTAGAATTCATTTAATAATTTCTAAGTTATAATTTTATGATAGTTCTTCAAGAATTAAGTTATTTAAAAAGAAATTATTGTTAGAAATAAAAAAAATTGAAGGTTTTGTATTAGAATTTTTGTTTTTGTAGAAAAAGTATTAATAATAATATTTTAATTATTTGAATGTTAATTAATTATTTTTCTAAAGGTCTGCATTCTGTTGAATGAACCACCTTATAATTTATAAAATTCCTTACGATATCTATATTATTTAAATCATTAACATAAAAAACATACTTATATTATGTTGTGGTGTTAATAATCTATATCAGAAATAAAACGCACTGAATTCTATAACATTGAGTCTAAATTTTATGATTACACTTTGAAAAAGATTTCAAAAAAAGAAAAACTCGTTAATTTTGATTAGAAAAAGGTGAAAAAGGGGACAAATCAGCAAAAAAGGGGAAAAAGGTGTCAAATCGTCAAAATAGGTGAAAAAGGTGATAAAATTGAAATAAGGGGACAAAAGGGGACCAACTGCGATGCCTGTAAATACTTACCGCCGCGGTAATCAATGATTAGTCCTATGATTCTATTCATGAATAAATGTTCAGTTTGTTGGACGAAAATGAAAGTACAAACATTCAAGATTCCGGCTGATTCCTTTAAATGTTGTGATAATTGTTTAAATTATGATAAAAGTCCATTTCAAATAAAACATAAGCTCTGACTGACATTTTTAAATGTCTTTCCTGTTTTAACACCATTAACCAACATTAAAAAGTTAGTGGGACGCAATAGTGTGATTAAATTAAACCAATCAGAAATTAACTGTTTAATCAAAGTTGGTGAAATCGGCTCTAAACTCATAACCATAAGTCAAACGTACGTCACTTACCCAAAGCTTAACACTCCCCTCTACCCGCTTTACTGCTTTCCTATCAATTTCTATCTTCGATTGACGTGGACTCTATTGAAGCTTCAGTGTATTTTACAAATAGAGTTTTTCCCATTAAGATGATTCTACATTGAGTCTAAACAGACAATCAAACCCAGTGGGCTCAATCAGAATTTATAAGAATGTTCTAAAATGTCTGGGATAACTTTTTATGTCCTTGAGGTATGGAAAACTCTAGAATGTAGATAGTCGATATCATTATCCTTTTCACTCTTATGAAAAGCTTTCTGCTCGTATGGGACTGCACCCTCATTTAAAGTCGTTTGCGACAATTCTACAGCGATTTTCTCTATAAAGTTCCGATTAACTCGTCGCTCAAATTTTAATGACACTACGTGTACCTTCGTATTTTTATGCACTGATCACTAAAATGATAACGAAAGTCAATTGGGTCATCTTTATGGTAGAAACAATAACACATAAAAATCATGGTTTTCTCGTTTATCTTTTCAAATTAATCAGTAGTTCGATTTAGGGGTCGTCCGTATATTACGTAACGCTTTTTGGGGTGGAGGGGGGGGGGGGGTCAAGCTATTGTAGAATTCTCCTTGTCGCTTTCGAAAATATGTTGTAATGTTTTTCTTTTCTTGTAAAATGCTGGTTTTTTTAATTTTCTATTATTGTTGATAAATATGATTAATTTTCGATGTGCAGCACACAATCGACACCCAGAACTATACAGAGTACTCAACCATCTCATTCGACAAGCCACTTGCATATCAACGGACACAGCAGTTCGCATTCTTCGTCATCACAACGGGCTCAACGGAAAAACATTATCAGTTGTGTGACAGTAGGAGACAGTGATGGAGAAGCCAGCCCAGGTCGGGTTAATGCTCATTTGTATCAACATTTGCCTCAGCATCATCATCCGCAGTCGATACAACACATCAAACACGAGCCTCAACCACAGCATCACATCAGGTAAATTTGATTAATAACTTTTTCAAAAGAAATTTTTTTATTTTCAAATTCAATAACTAAGTAAAGAAAATTTATGCAAAACATGTTATTTTTTTATTCATTTTTATGTACTATTTTATTTTTTTATTTTCTAATTAGGTTGATTTCTGAATTGAAAAAATATTTTTTTTACCAATTCGTGAAATACTGTGAACGTTATTAAATTGCACTGGTAGTGCAAGAAAAGTTAAAGTATATTTTTTTCTTTTCCTGCATTGCATTATACAGAATAATGATCTATGGAAAATTTTAGCTACAGGAAGAGACTTTCGAACCATACTTTCATTTTTCTGTAACTGTTGAAGTTTAGTTGCTAGATAAAATTCTTGCCCACTCTCCTCTATATATTGCATTCACACTCACAGGAAATTTTGCTACTTAACTTAATAAAGTACTAAATGTAATTATTTTATGTTACAGTTCGGGCTACTCTTCACAATCACAGAAAAAGCGTTTATTGGCAAAAGTTCAGTCTGAATACAACATGATAAATGTAGCAACAAAACCAGAACCTGGTGTTGAGTACATAACTCCTCATCCCTGTCACGCACCTGCTTGCAAGGAACCACCAACTTACCAAGTATGACAGCAGAATTTTTAAATCCTTTTTTCACTTCATAATGTTTTTCTAGAAGAATTTCTTGATGAATTTCTTGATGACTTTTTTTTAGTATGTGACGACGAGTAGCGCTCATCCCCATCTACAAGAGCAGCATATTGTATACACCACTGGGGCTGACAAGCGAGTGTCTTGGCCTACAAAGCGGTCTGACTATAAACACGAATACGTTCAGCCACCAGTTGCTCACACGCGGGACCATCAAAAATGGGCTGTGGCCAATTCAGTCCACCAATACAGGTGAGAGTTCATTCTTAATTGGCATGCACTTTTTTCATTATATGTACAATGATATTATTTGCCGAAATCGTTTATCAAATGGTGTGACCTTAAAGAGTTTTCAACTATTATTTTGCACGTAGATTTTTTAATTTATTCATTATTTAGAAGTGCCAGATTTTATAATTATTTGGCTCATGGCACTAAGAAAGTAGTTTGCAATCATTTTAGTTTATAGAAATTGTATTGATTTACACTGTGTTAGATTTCTAAATTTTATTTCAAATTTCTTGTAATTCAGAGAAATTAAAGTTAATGGAAACCGCAATATATTGTGGTTTATATTCATACGTTTGTAATATTCTCATAATTCATTAATTATACTTTCCATTTATTCGAATTTAAATAATGATAAAATAGAATTTCTACTTATTAGATCAACCTTTTACATAATAGATTCTCTAGTTGATATAATTTTTAATTTAAAATAATTTCTATAGTTCGACTCCGCAGCAAATTTACAAACAAATGTTTAGTTACCCGAGTAATATTTGTGCAATATTCCTTGTAACTATCAAGGAGTTTAAAAATCTTTGTTTTTTATGAAACAATTGTGAGGGAAATAAAAATCTGAAAGCATGAATTGGTTAATCGGGAATGGTTTTTTGTTTATTTGTTGGGATCCGTAGGCAGAGCCAGGTGGTGGGTTCATCGGTGCATCCAACTCATAGCCACAGTCATCATGGACACCCAGCTCACCTGAGTCCTGGGGGTGGAGGCGGAGGCCGAAGTCCCACTGGAGGTCCCGTTGTTGGAAGTGCCCAACATCTGGGACAACCACTGTACCAAGAGTACACGCATGTGCGCTCGAGGGCCCATCCCGTGCCTCCCCCAGTTTATGTAACCGCTGCGCCTTCACAGGCTCCATCCGCTATCCAGCAACAACAAGTGCCCACCTATCAGGGATTTACACCCGGGTGGGTACCTAGACACCTAGTTGATGCATGCATGTGTGTACCAATTATTATATTACATATTCTAATTTAGTATAGTACAGTTTACATTTTTACATTTTTACTTTTTTACTTTCATTAGATCTTTCAGTAGCAATCTTTTTTTCATCAGATCTGCCTCTCAATCTGCCAAAACTCCCAAGATTACTCACTTTTATTTTTAATAATTAAATCTTTATTTATTAATTATTCAAAAATAAAGTTACAACAAATAGTTCTGAAAATTACAATTATTTAAGATGTCAAAGTCGATGTAATTTAATAGCCAGGCTTCGCACTCATCTACTAAAGCCTACTATTTACTATTTACTACTTTTTTTACGTTATATGCTACTATTTGAGTAATTTTATAGATTTCAGCCAGTAAAAGCTACTATTTCTGTTTTTTTTAGAATTTCCACTACTTTACATTCCTTAATACTAGAAATCAAAAAACTATTCTCAAAAATTATAATCAAATTCTTTAAAACGATTCAATCATTTCCAAAAAATATTCGAAATTCAAATATTTTCAATATCTAACATTTTCAAAAAAATTCACAATAATTCAAATACTTCGACTAATAATAACATTTTTCATGGAAATTCAATTTTTTAAAAAAAATTTTGAGATAATTCTAAGCTAGAATTCAATTGTTTTCATATAAATAATAAAACTCATAGAAGAATTTCAATTATTTTTAATACTATTTTAAATTAATTAATCGAAAAATTCAATTATTTCCACAAATAAAGTTTTCCACAAGAAATTCAATTATTTAAAATAAAATTTTTATAATATTTATTATATATCGAACAAAATTAATTATTTAAAATAATTTTTATAAAATTCTTATGAAGAATTCAATTATTTTCAAAAATAATAAAATGCTTTTTAGGAATTCAATTATTTTCAAAAAATTTTAATGAAGTTATTCGCAATAATTTAATTATTTTCATAAATAAGAAAATTCTTCTCATGAATTCAATTATTTTCAAATATTTTAATAAAATAGTTCGAAAGCAATAAATTATTTTTAATAAAATTTTAATAAAATTTTTTTTGAAATAATTTAATTATTTTTTTAGATTTTATCAAAATCCTTCCCAAGAATTCAAATATTTACATAAATAATTCTTCGAAAGAATTTAATTATGTCGATAAATAACAAAATTATTCTCGAAAATTCAATTATTTTGAGGCATTTTAATAAAATTATTTCCATAAATAACAATATTCATCACAAGAATTCAAATATTTTAAAAAGTAATAAGTTTCTTCTTGAAAATTCAATTATTTTCAAAAATTATAATACATTCGTTCGCAAGAATTCAATTATTGTCAAAGATGTTAATTGCATTCTTTGTAAAATTAAATTATTTTTAAAAACTTTTCGCAATTCTATGATATTATCAATATCTAGGGTAAGTGCGTCAATTGCTGCGGGTGCTTCAGTTTCTGCGGCATTTTAATAATTTAAGTGAATACATTTGTTCAGGGCACAAATAATTTTGAAATTTTTTTAAAAAATTACTTAACGATGTAAGTTTTAAAATAGATATAGGAAGTATATACCAAAACATAATATTTATGTATTTTATTTTAATTAAAAGTTGACGTGTTCAAGGTTTTATTTATTTTCATTGCTAACTTTGCTGGCGGTGCAAAAATACCTACATAAAAAAGGCTTTATTATTGTTTTTAGACTTAAAGTGGTTATTATTATGATGATTTTAGATAAAGAAAACCTTGTTTTAAAAGAAAAATTAAACTTTACTTTATTTTTGTCTGTTATTATATTTTATTTTTAAGAGTAGTAATTAACACAGAATTTGGGCTTGATTTAATTTCTGCGCCCTCAGAAAATCAACTAAGACTGGTTGCAATAGACTATCTATTTTGAAAAAGAGCAAGAAAAAATTATGAAAATGAAAGAAAAAATGAAGATTATGGAGGAAAAACTAAAGAAAATTTAATAAATACATAAATTAATTAAGGAAGAATTCTGTTATTAAGTTTTAACTAAATGTTTAAAAAATGTGATAATTCAGAAATTATTTGTTACTTTTGTTAATATATGATATATATTTATTTTTAATAAATTTATATTCTATTCAATTAAACATTGATTAAAATCATTGTCCCATTTTGATTTCATAGTAAACACGAAATTATGCGCAGAAACTGACCCACAGGAATTAAATTCGCGCAGCAACTGATGCGCAGCAACTGACTCAAACGCGCAGAATTAAACGCATTGAATATTATTTTTAATTCATTAAATTTATTAAAATAAATTATATTTTAGAGATGTTATTTATTGTAAACATATCTTAATAACACAAACTACAAATTTAATAAGACATAAGTTCAATTTGATCAATATAAAAATTATATTTTATAGTTAAAAGACGTCTTGACCAAAATACCGCAGGAATTAGTACACTTACCCTACTATTTTCATAAAATTTCCAAACAGAATTGAATTAAGAAAAACACTTTTTTTTAATTTTCGTAAAAATTCAATTGTTTTTATAAATAACAATATTCATCACAAGAATTCAATTATTTTTAAAAGTAATACATTTTTTCTTGAAAATTCAATTATTTTAAAAAATTCTAAAAATAAAGTCGTTTACAAGAATTCAATTATTTTCAAAAAAAATTTAATAAAATGCCACACAGACATTTAATTATTCTCAAAAATTTTATTAGAATTCTTTGTAAAATTGAATTATTTTTAAAAACTTTTCGCAATTCAATTATTTTTAATATCTACTATTTTCATAAAATTTTCAAACCGAATTCAATTATTTAAAAATTTTTTTGTAAAAATCTTGGTAAGAATTCAATTATTTTCATAAATAATAAAATTCTTCTCAGGATTTCGATTATTTTTGAAATTTTTTAGAAAATTCATAACAACTATTCAATTATTTTCAAAAATAATAAAATTCATCGCATTATTTTTAATAAAATTTTACAGAAATTGCTCAAAAAATGTAATTATTCTTAAAAAATTAATTTCAATTCCTCGAAAGAACCAATTATTTAAAAAAAATATTTTTTTAAATTCTTTGAAAGAATTAAATTATTTACAAAAATATTAGAATTTTTCAAAGGAATTCAATTATTTTCAAATATTTTAATAAAATTGTTCGAAAGAAATCAATCATTTCATTTTAATTAAATTTTTTAAAAATATTTTATTATTCTTTTAGATTTTAATAAAAATTTTCCCACGAATTCAATTATTTACATAAATAATTCTTCGAAAGAATTGAATTATGTCGATAAATAACAAAATTATTCCCGTCAATTCTAATAAAATCTTTCGCAAGAATTCAATTATTTTCAAAAAAATTTAATAAAATGCCACACAGACCTACATTTATTCTCAAAATTTTTAATAGAATTCTTTGTAAAATTTAATTATTTTTAAAAACTTTTCGCAATTCAATGATTTCCAATATCTACTATTATTTAAAAATTTTTTTGTAAAAATCTTCGTAAGAATTCAATTATTTTCATGAATAATAAAAGTTTTTCAGGATTTCGATTATTTAAATTATAATTTGCATAAAATTAGTCGATTAAGTTTAAGTTTTTGATAACTACTCTTTTACTACTTTTTTAGTTTGAAAGATACTTTTTGCTGCTTTTTTAAAATTAGTTATCGAGTGCGAAGTCTGTATTACACATCAGAGCTTCAGTGGAAAAATCGAATAGACTTTAACACTCCCATAAGTTATTCTAATAAAAACTCAAAAATATAAATTGTTGAAAATAAAAAGTCAATTTTCATCTTTAATTAAATATTAAAAACAACAATTGAGGGTTGTTATTCGATCTGCACCCTTAATTATATTATTATTTTCATTATAGGTAATAATTTAATTAAAATAAAACTTTAATTATAATGAAAAACTTAATTTCCATAAAGCGGGGTTATTTCACTCAATGTGGGTAAATTTGCTTAACGATTTTTTTTTAATTATCTTTAATCTAAAATTTAACGAATTCAACTTTTTTTTGGTAATAAAAGTTTTAATCTTTATTTTAAAATTAATTTGAAGCAGATAAATCGGTGAGCGAATTTACCCGCAACGGGTAATACAACCTCATCTTATGGTACTTCATGTTTAAAGTACAAATAACAGATCCGTGAAAATGATGAATTTGCTGTAAAGACTTCCGTGAACGAGTCTTTTGGCATGTTTAGAAAAAGAATATTTAAAATCATAACTTTAGAGATAAATTATTTTTGAAATTTCATTTTGCAATTTATATTTGATAAATTAATTTTAATAAAATTGTGAGATCAGGATAGCCACAGTAAAATATAAAACTTAATTTAATTTAAACAAATCTATTTGTCAGGTCAAACAATAAACATCTCCTCGCTCGCACACCTCAGTACAGACTGACTCAATTCTCCTTCTCGTTATCTCTCAAACCCCAAAAACAAACACACCATCATTCTTACAATTATAAATACACACACTTGTACATCATTCTCACCTATAACCTTACAAAATTTATAATATTTTACTTTGATGCAATTCAAGTTCTAGATAGCATATTTTCGTTTTATAGAGAATTTTTATTCGGATTTCTTAGAAGAAAAAATTCTTAAAAAATCATTTAGCCCTTATAAGAAAATAAGGATTGCATCGCATGAAATTTAGAGATTTGAAAATATTTTTTATTAAATGCCATTGAAATAAAATTAATTTATAGAATAACAAGACTAAGCATGCTGATATAGTCTCTTTTCATTGAAGGTAGGCGATTTTATTATGCATTTAAGTTTAGTCAGCATTTTAAATTTTGACAATATCAACCTTAAGTTCGAATGTCACTTTTAGTTAACTTCATGTTTCAAATCTTAAAATGTTGCCTTATAATTTATCTTTTAAAATTCAATTTCTTTACTGACGTTTTAATTTAGTTTTTAACACTAGAACTACTGGCACAGACATTCTATCCCCTCGCGGATGTTTGCGCATTTATATCT